GTTGGACGTCCATGGGACATATGGGACGTCCCATATGTGGGACGTCCCATGGGACACGTGGGACGTCCCATGGGAAACGTGGGACGTCCAACTGGACGCCTGGGACGTCTGAGACAGCCCACGTGTGCCTCAATGTATCACCAACGCCCCACGGCGTCCCAGGTAATGTCCTGCCGAGGCGGATGGGAACCCTCGGTGCTAGTATTTAGAAGGACCTACCCACTCCCCCTACCGATGAGGGACGTGGGACGCACGTATAGCATGGTCGTTCCTCTCGTCCCACTGGACGTCCAATGGAACGTCTCACGCGTCCCATTGGACATGCAGCATGTCCCATTGGACGTCCAAAAGCTGTCCAAACAGTCCCATGGGACGTCCAACGTGTCCCATGGGACCTCCAACGTGTCCCGCGCGTCTCAAAGGGTGATCCCACGCGTCCTAGGCGTCCCACGTGCATTTTCAAACGGCAACAACATAGCCTCGCCCGTGTTCACGCGTGGGACGGCCCACGGGACGCTTGAGACGGTCCATGGGACGCTTGGGATAGCCCACGGGACGCGTGGGATGGTCCATGGAAGGTGTCTTGCGGCCCACCGGACGTCGCGTGGGACGTCCCATGAGTGTGGAAGCTGTCACGCGTAGGACGTCCCACTCGTCCCTAAGGGGCGTTCCACGCGTGCCATCAGCCAGGCGACCAGGCGCTTGTACAGAGATTGATAGGACGCTGGGACTACCGGTGTTTTCTCGCCCGGCATACAACATTTCATGCGCGTTTCGTGGGCGTCCAATCCACGTCATGTGCCGTCCCACGCGTCCCACGAGCCGTCCCACGCGTCCCACGAGCCGTCCCAAGCGTCCCATGGGCCGTCCCATGCGTCCCATGAGCCACCCCCGCGGGCCGTCCCACGCGTGGGGCGCAAGGCGTCCCCATGTGTTCCATTGGGCGTCCCATAGGGCGATTGGGGCGTCCCATGGGACTTGTGGAACGGTCCATAGGACGCGCAGGACAGCCCAAGGGACACCTTGGTTTAGTTACGGTTGGGACGCCCAGAGGACACGTCGCGGGGTCCCATGAGACACTAATGGTGCGGCCCATGGTGCATTTGACGTCCCGTGGGGCGGGATCCCAACCCTTCCCACGTGTCCCAAGGGCGTCCCATGGGCCGTCCCGTGCGTCCCAGAGGTGGCCCATGGTACGGCCCATGGGATGGGACGCCTAGGTCCCTCGTGAACTCCCATATGCATTTCCTTGCGCGTGCTCTGTTCACGTTGTTTCCGTTGTTGTTGTTGTTGTTGTTGTTGTTTGTCAATGTTGTACTCCTGCTGTGTTTCCGTCGTTGGTAGTACTGCTGCTCGTCTTTTTGTTCGGCCTTGCTGCTTACGGCGCTTTGTCTGTCCTGTTTATGGTTGTCTGTTTCGGTTGCCGCTGCTTGTCCACGGCCGGCTGCTGATTGTTCTCGTAAAAAAAATGACGTTAGTATGTAGCGTCGGGCCATATGCGGTACGCGGGAATGTTTTTGGGCCCGAGCGTTGTTGGTACACCTGTCACACTTGCCACGTTGAAGCCCTCCTCTTCCGTGTGCTCGAGAATTTTGCAATACAACAACCCGCTGTCTCAGCATGTATGCCTCTCTCCTGTTGTGTAAGGTCTTCCTATAGCATCCAGCATCATCCGGGCGGGTAAATACCATCATCCGGGCCGGTATTCCGAGGACCATTGTCTTGTAGGCGGCGGTTCGTGGGTTCCCAATTCCCGTGGCGTTTTTGTTTTCTGTCGGCGGCAACAACCGCCGTCCGTGTGTGTAGCTTAACACACGACAGCTGTAGTGCCACCTTGTGTCTGCCCCCCCCTCTCCCCACAGCATCGCGGTTGTCGTGTTGCTGACAGATACCCCTCGAGGACGCGTGGCCTATGGTCTAACAACCACGGCATGCAAAACATGAGCACCCCCCCGCGCGCGCGCGTGCGCGCTTGCAGCTACCGCCTTCCACAGGCGGATCCGAGGACCAAATGCTGGCGGCGGCTATCGCTGCGTCTCTCGACACGGGAAACGGCGGCGGTAGCGACAGCGGCAGCAGCAGTGGGGGCGGCGCGGACTCCAGGGTAATGGCGGCCCCCCCTACGAGCAGCGGCGGTGGGAGCGGCGCACCCGTCGCGACGGTGGCGGGAGGGCCGATCAGCGTGGACGACAGCGACGAGGAGGAGGAGGAGGAGGAGGAGGAGGACGGTGAGTCGGGAGGATGTTGTTGTGAAACTGATGGTACACGCTATCTTCTCAGAAAAACGAACAAGCTTAAGACAGAGACGATACATCCGGCAGAAGTCGCTGGATCGATGTATAGACTGTATATTCGGGGGATGCTGTTTTCACCGCGAAACTGCTGTTAGAGCCGTGAAAACTGACGGCAGACGCGGAAACCCGCGGAAGACAGACACGCAAAATAAAAATGATTTTTCCGTAGGGTGTACTCCGTGTTAGTTATTATTTTTTGCGTTGTGAAGGCCAAGCCAAGCACAACTCGCAGTATTAAAACAAAGAGTTCGTTAGTTTTTTTAGTCTTGGGGGACGCAACATAAGACTGCTGTACACCATATGCGTTCGTCGAAGAGTACCTTGCATCGAGTAAATGCCCCCTCCCCGGTGATTCAAATGGTTTACTCTGACGGTGAGCTGGCGGTGTTGCGGAAGGGTGTCAACGACAGCTGGTCGGTAGGTTTGTGTTGACGCTGGCTATGGTGGGAGGAGGCAATGCCTTGTTGTTGGTGCCGTTCGTGTGAGCCGTGATTGGGGTGGTGGCGATGTTGCGGATGGGTGACAACGGCAGCGGATCGGCGGGTTGGTTTTGAAGTTGGCGATGGGAGGAGGCAATGGCAGAGAGAGAAAGGTGATGACGGCGATGGAACAGTTTTGATGTGGGGGCGCGGGTGTTGGTGTTTGTTGATGGCAGTGGCTCGGGCACTAGTTGATGCTGCTGCTGTGCAGGGGTCAATGGCAGCAGCAGCTGGCGACTGCGTTCCAAGATTGACTGGATGTTGTCGGTGCTGGTCAACGATGAGTGTTGGCGGCGTCGTTCGACTATCGGTTTCGTCGGTGTTGGCTGTGGATCGTGTTCGGATTTACGATGGCGATCGATTGCTTACGCTGATGATTAATCCTGGTGGGTGTGATGTGAATGTTGTGTGTGTGTGTTCATGATTTGCATCGGCCGCGCTGACCGAACGACCAAATAATACTACGCCAATCTCAGTGCCGCTAGAAACGGAGAACAGTTCTAGAGACCATGATCTGGGACGTCCTGAGATGTGCGTGCGTGCGCTGTTTTCTGGGGTAAAAGGGGGCTCCGTGAGGTGTGTGTGGGTATGTATGCAAGTGCTGTTTTCTCCTATAAAACGGGGCTCCGTGAATTGTATGCGGGTATTAGTGTGCTGTTTTCTCCGCCAGCACGCTCGCCGCCACCCCATGTGTTCAGATTTATATTTTTTTTGTAAATAACGATGGTGGGCGGTGGCCATCTTTTTGCTGCACACACGCCGTTGTTTTGCGATAGTTCCAATGCTAACGACGAAGAGGTTGTGTGACCACGTACACACAGGTGATGTCGCCGTGCTACCAGCAAGCGCGGCAGCCGCAGGTTTGCCGGCCTCCAAGGCCCAACGGCAACAAGAGAAAGGGAACGCGCGAGCGGGAGCGGGGGCGGGAGGCGGGGCGGTGATGGCGGCCGGAAAAGGTGTTGTGACTAAATGGCTAGAGACTGGTACCGTTAGGTTGGATGCGATACCACACACGCCTCTGGACCGATTTTAACAGCTCGGGTACTCCACGACGAAGAGGCTAGAGACTACTACCGTTAGGTTGGGTGAGATTCCACGCACACTCTGGACCGATTTTAACAGCTCGGGTACTCCACGACGAAGAGGCTAGAGACTGCTACCGTTAGGTTGCATGAGATACCACACGCACCTCTGGACCGCTCGGGTACTCTAAGACGAAGAGGACACCAAAAACAAGCGATGATACGTTTTCGGAAAGCTAGCGGCGAGGAAGCGCTTACAACGCCGCCATTTTTGACACTGTCGCTGCTTTGGTGTGCATGTTTCGACCGCGCTACCCGGCTGACCAATGAATATTCGTAGCTGTTGCGTTGTGTGTTTGTGTGCATAGCACACCCACCTCTAATCTGTAGATGAAGCTCCCCAAGGTACGGTACGCACAAGGTGACAGCGAGGAGTGTTCGATGCGAAATTCCTTCTTTGTTTTTCAAGAGAGCAAAAGCGGATCACTCGCCGTGCTTTTTGGACCGCAACCACCTGTGATCAGGCCTTGCTCCTCTCCAACAACACGATTTGCGTTCTTCCGCACCAATCAGGAGAGGGAGGCAGCAGCAGGGCGGACGCCGTGGACGTGACGGACGACTCGGGGTACGCGCACGACCAGCCGGTGGGAAAAGCGGGGGCGGTAGGACGTGGCACAGACGACTACGCCGCCGCCGCAGCAGCAGCAGCAGCAGCAGCAGCAGCAGCAGCAGCAACATCAGCTGCTGCTGGTTGTTCATCGGGCGACGGGAAGAGTAGCAGTGGTAACGGCAGTGCTGCCGACATGGATGTGGAGGGAAAGGAGGAGGAGGAGGAGGAGGAGAGGTTGGAGGACCCCCCAGGGGATGACTGCGCCGAGAAGATCAGCGTGCGGTTCCAGTTCCCGACGGGGGCGAGGGTGAGCCGTGTGTAGGTTTCTTCGTCGTGGTCGTGTTTTTTTTTTTTTTTGTGGTGTTTTTGTCTTGGTCGTCCATGTCTACGGGACGCGATGAAGTGGTCGTGGTGCCATCAACACATACGACGGGTTTGTTTGTTTTTTTCTTGGCGCAGCTGTTATATCCGTTCAGCCAGTTTTGTTTGATCACGAGATGGAGGACCCATCGGGAACGGTGCTGATAACGTTCCGGGAACGTTCTGCGTGGAAGCTGCTGTCGCCGATGAGCCGCAAGGAAACAATATAAATAGTCGAAGCAGTGCCCCCCCCCCCCCCATTCAAAGCCAACGTCAAAGGTTTTGCGAAAAGCTTGCTTCACGTTGCCCTTGTTTTTAGATTTTTTCAACGGAATTTTTTTTCATCGGAAAAAATCATCCCCGAGAGTTTTTGCCTTTGTGGTCTCCACAGAGCTAAGTTTCGAATCCGCCCCTTCCTCTCTTCTCTGCCTTTGCTATCGCATCCCATGGTGGTGTTGGCGGCGATGCCGTTCTCCCCCTCTTGCCGGTGCGTGCGGCGCGAGAGCAGGTCTTGAGAAGGTTCCGGAAGAGTTCCGACGTGCGGCAACTGTTCCTCTTCGTCCGCACGGAGCTTGAGGGCGCCAAGGCCAAGCCGTTCGACGTGCGCACCGTGCGACCACCCTGCTCCGTGAGGTAATGGAATATAATATGTTTGTGCCGTGCTCGACACATGCATACCGAAGGTGTGCGACGTCATGCATATGCTCGTGTGCCTGCAAGGAACAGCCCAGACGACAGGGCAGTCGTTACAACAACAGCAACAGCAGCAACAACTCAGAAATAAGACCAGTTCCACAGGTCTTGTCCTTACGAGTATTTTGTTGCGTACCCCTCCTCTCTTTTTCTGTATTTTTTCTGAATAGGAGCAAGGAGGGGAGTTCCATCGAGGAGGCGGGCCTGTCCAACTCAACTGTGGTGGTCGCATGGGAGGACTGAGCTGACTGGCTTATTGTCCATCGTGAGGGAGACACACGCACAGCCAATCGTGGTCATCACACACAATTTGGCGACAAAAGCATCGCGAGAAAGTGAATCACGGCAGCCAGTCAGCAGTGGGCAGACGCACGTTTACTTAGCACGTGGTTTGAGGTTATTGAAGCAGCGCGTCGGCTCGGATGTAGTGTGCAAGCTGCCCATCAGCACACGTGGGTAGACAAACTCTTGCGGTACAAGGTCTCTCTGTCTGTCTCTCTCTCTATCTATCTATCTATCTCTCTCTCTCTACGACTAGCGGTTGGGCGGCACAATCGGAGATGGTGTTAACCAGGCCCCCGCTCATACTAACGCGTCAGGGTTTCTTAGCGGCGCCGTGTCTCAACTTGTCTGTGTGTTGTTCGACGTCGAGGAAGCGGGGTTCCGCGGGATGTTTTTTGTACCGGAGGGGGGGGGGGGCAATCAATCGTGCACTTGTTGGCCGTGGTTGTATCCGTCGGGAGAGGAGGGGGGCAGACCCGACTCGAGGTCCACTACCTACATGCTGTGTCCATCGAAGCATGCTGCGTCCATCGAAGCATGCTGTGTCCATCGAAGCCTGCTGTGTCCATCGAAGCATGCTGCGTCCATCGAAGCATTCTGCGTCCATCGAAGCATGCTGAGTCCATCGAAGCATTCTGTGTCCATCCCAGCATTCTGTGTCAATCCCAGCATTCTGTGTCCATCCCAGCATTCTGTGTCCATCCCAGCCTGCCGTGTTCATCGAAGTATGCTG